CTCCGCATTGAAGGAAAGCTCAGTGTTCTGGGAGCAGGAGTAAGCAAATAATTATAAGTAATTTTCATGGTGTAAAATCAAGACAAGACCATTCTAAATCTCGCCATCTAGCAATAATTGCTATTAGCACGTTAATATATTTTTCCTGTTTTTATACTACATATATATTTTCCAGTTTAGTCAGTATTATAAAATATATACTAGCTGTCTATGAGTTAGTTATGTAGATGTACTATCACTTATTAAATCCTTACCAGATTTCTGAACATCTAGATTATTTCCATTACGTAGCTGAAATCGACGTGCAGTACAAGTTTACTGCGACATGCAATACAAGTTCTGTGACTTGACGAACATCTACACGCGACACTAAAGATTTGGTTTACCGTTTCTAACACTTCTCAGAAACGGCGCCTGCAATATGGGCTCCTTTGTGTGTGCCGGTCGTCCTCGGCCTCACGTGGTGGCGATCATGCCTTTTGTCGCCTTCCTCGGGAGTTTGTTCCCTGTATTGTGGAGTTACGATCCATATGCGTGACTCTACCAACATTTGTTCATCTGTCTGCTGGTGGTGGACATTTGGGTTGTCAGACTTGCTATAAATATTCAATTTTATTTATATCATTGCTATTCTATGTGGTTAATTCTACCAGTTTTTTCTCTTAGGGTTTATTTCACTTCTTTTTTTTTTTTTTTAAGACATTATTTATTTATTTTTAGAGAGGGGAAGTGGGGGAGAAAAACATCAATGAGTGGTTGCCTCTCACACGCCCCCTACTGGGGACCTGGCCTGCAACCCAGGCATGTGCCCTGACTGGGAATCGAACCAGTGACCCTTTGGTTCACAGGCCAGTGCTCAGTCCACTGAGCGACACCAGCCAGGTTGCTTTATTTTTTTCCTGCTTGGGAGATCCTTCTTCATACTGTAACCAGATAGCCATTGATTCATATTTTCGGGTTAAAAAAAATAGCATCATGTTTTATATTTCACTATTAATTACATCTGAAATTTATTTTGTTATGAGGTGAGACGAAAACTGAATTTAACTTTTCTCCAGATTTCACCAACTATTACGGCACCATTTATTAAATAGTCACTTTTTCCTCGTATGCTTTGTCGCATACTGTCACCATCCATGTTGTCATACATTAAATTCTTATAAAACATCCTGTTTCTGGTTGTCTGATTTCATTGCTCTTTTAATATGAATTGTAGCTTTTATAGCGTCTCCCATGTTCTTCAGGCACAAGTTTTCCTGAAAGCATTGTTTAATATGTTGCAGCAGAAATCTTCTGTTTCGATAACATCTCAGCTCATCTCATTCATTTTTCCTGAAAGCAACACGCACCATTTCTGCCTTTACATTCTCTTCCCTGAAGAGTCACACGAGACCTAATTGCTGTGCCTGGTCAGCATCACACCCTTCCGGAAACTTACTTTTCCTTCGTTCCTCAGATACATTCTTCTTTCCTCTTCTCCTGCTCCCAGGACTTTGTCACAGGAGCCTGCTCTGCTTCCTGTCTTTCTTTTGTCCACGTGTGTGGTGATGCCCTAAGAGTCTGAGCTTAATTCTCTCTTCAGTTTCCCTGGGCCGCACCGCTCTTCCTTGGTGTGTACAACGTCTGTGCATAAATGTGTCTCCTGTCTACTTCCGTACCCTGGGGGCCCTGATTTCAAAGCTGTGGTATCACATGCTTACTGATATGTTAACAGGTCAAGATAGAATCAGTTGCTCCTCTGTCCCTGTCCCCAGTTTCTCCCTCGATTCTGCTGCTGCAATATCCGCTCAGCCACCCACAGGGAAACCCGACATTGTCCTTCCTTCCCCGGACACCCCATAAAGCCCCCCTGGGATCACGACTCTTGACCGCTCTACTTGAAGCCCTTCAGACGCGCTGCCTCAGTGCATATGTAACTTCTCATCCTGTCATTCCCTTACTCAGGTGTGCTCTCTGTTTTACAGCTACCATATTTTTAGTAGAGTTGTTGATATATCTGCTTGTCCCAATCCAGTAGTGACGTCCTTGCACATCACTGCCGTCCTCTCTCACTGTGGCTGCCGCTTGTCACACAGTGGTGCTCGCCGATAGGTGCTCAGCCAGGTTTTTGTTGCACTCACTATGCGTTGTTCACCTGGCCTGGTCTGAGATCTTTCTAATTGATTCTCCAATTGCTGCCACGGTTGTTTTCTTAAAATTATGCTGTTTTAAACCTAAACTCTCGGACTCCCTTAGCTCAGAACAAATCGCAAGCCTGTGTGTTGGCAGCCAGGATGCTAAGCAGTGTGGCCTCATTTGTTTTTACCTAAGTCCTGGCGTTGGCCTGAATGCATGTCATTCTTCAGCTGCATGTTCCTTGAATGTTTTCTTGCTACTGCCGTTTTTTCTCTTTAGAATGAATTCTTTCACAAGCTTACTAGTTACCTGTTATGTGCAGGTACCACACCAGGCCGTTAGAATGATAAAGATGGATAAAACGTGGGCTTCCCTCTGTCGCCTCCGTTTGTGGAAAATTCCATCCTCAAAAAAATCCCATTTTTAATTGTGAAGTTTCCTGAAGTCATAAAGATGAATCCTTCTTTGCCTCCAAAGCACTTGTAATGTCAGAATTGGCAAACTGGACACGCAGCCCTCTCGCCGGTTCCTGTGCGTGTATCTCCTCCTTCGCGTTGGATATGCTGGGGGTCCGGGGTGGTTCTAATCATCGTGTGTGTCTTCTTTTGCTCTCTCCTGGGCCCCACACAGTGACTAATTTAACATGATCGATGCTCACTAGATGGAAAGCTGGTTCAAAGCCAAAGACTGACTACCCAGAGCGTCAGGTAGAAAGTCAGGGGTGAGTCCCGTGCCAAAGCCAGAGATGGGTTTCAGGAGGGACAGGCCATGGGTGAGGCTCAGCTCCAGGCAGCAGGAAGGGTTGAGACGGTCAGTAACCGGGTTTGGCAGTTAAGAGGTTCTTGGTTATCGTAACAAAAATAAGTCCCATAATGTAGCAAGGGGAGGCGTCAGGGGACGGCAGATTGAGAAATAAATAGAACTCTCCTCGGTGTAATTTTTTAGCATATATTTTTATAGACATTGGCTGGGAGACAAATCGAAGCTATATGATCTAAATAAAGATGCAGAATCCTGCATGTATTATATGGATCTAGGAGCATCCATGTCTTTCGTACAGTAGATGACTGGGTAGTAGGCTTGACATCATTTTAAGATAGTTTATAAACTTAGCCACTGTCTTCATTCTATTAGAACACTGCCACAGATCTGCATAGAGGTGACAAGGGCTCCTTCATCAACTTGGCGATACTCTGTGTCAAGCACGGCAGACGTGATTCGGACCCAGAAATCAGTCAGAGGGGCTCTACTGGGGGTGCCAGGCTTCCCCCTCCCTGTGCTCGTTTGAATGAATGGCCATGTCTCTGCCCGTGTAAAACGAATGGAGTTTGAAAGGTAGCCCTGAGTAGTTGTATATGTTGGTCTGACTTTGGGCGTCGTATGTCCGACCCTTTGTCAGACACACCTAACCTTTCTGCAGTCTGATGCCTTTTCTGTTTGATGGCACGTTGTAGGTTTAATAGACTTCTCTTCCTTCCTTTGTGTTAACGTAAACAGCGGTGGAATCCCAGTCAGCTGCATCTCAGCTTTGATAAAATACGGCGATGTAACTGGCAGTGTTCAAGTTTAAAGACTGCCTGCTGTTTTAGTCTCGCTCTAACTAATGTTGAGCGAGTCTTTTTGGCAATAGGTGTGTGATACTGTCTCTCTACTGTGGCCATCGGCTTTGCACGCACTTTATGTCAAAACCATGATAGACTCTTCAGTGGGGGGGAGGTGGGAAAAGGGAGGGAGGAGTCTGCAGAAGACCTCTTGTGTGTTACCTAAGTTAAGACTTGCTCTGTAGGCAACCAGTCTCATTAACCACCATGGCTATGAGTTTGCAGAAGCACCAAGAGTCCCTGAAGGCGGAGCTGATCTCTGACCCCGAGGTCGGGTGCACCCCGAGGGGTTGGTTCATTGCTCCAGTCGCAGACGTGTTGAGCATCTCCTAGGATGCCTGGCAATGCACTCCACGTTGGGCACAACCTGTCCTTGTTCTGGGGGTTTCTTCATGCCCTGAAACAGTCCAGCAGAGGTCACTCGGGCCTGAAGCCTGCTCCTTACACACACTGTCGAAATGAGAGATGAAATAGGCAGTTTCCAGCATAAAGGCCCCACTGAGATGGAGAGCTGGATGCCTGGCCACAGTGAGCCCCTGATCAATACTCGTTGGCTGTTGAGTGGAGATTAACTAGGAAATGGCGGGACTTAATGGTCTAAGTGACTCTCCTAGAAAATATTAGTGTTGTAGTTTTTCTGAAAATAGAAGGAATAGACATTGAGACTTGGAAGGGGAATAATGGGAGTTCCTAAGCCCATTTTAGACATGACTCAAATCAAAACGGAAAGCCTTACAGCTTCTCACCACAGAAAACACCGATTCAAACTTTGAAAACATTTCTGGAGAAACGATGAATCAACAGATGGAGAACAAACAGAGCAAGTTCACACAAATCAGCTTCAGCCAATCGGCAGTCCTATCTCTGAAATCAAATGTAAATCAGATAATTAAATAGAAAGATTACATCTATGCTTGTGTTCATTTATTTGACTAATGTCTCGATACCTAATCCTTGAAAGGGTGAGAACAACAGACTAGTGAGGGGGAAATGCAATCAGATGGTGCCTACTTTTTTCTTCTGGTAACTGAAGGTTAAATGGGTAGCAGGCAGAACGCCTTAACCAAGATTGGTGTATTGATTAAAACGCTGATTTAACAGCTCGCCGTCTCCCCTCGGAAACCTGGGAAAGATAAGCCAGCTGCCGTCTAAGCGCGCTGAGCGTCCACTGAGAGCACACTATCTATCATCACAATATGGTGATGAGAGGTGTTTTATGTTTGTGTTAATTTCCCCACTAAATCAGTAATTATTACCATCCCGTCCCTGCTGTTTACCCTGCAGCTGTTTTTCCATTTGTCGAGAGAGCGGGTGTTCTCTGAGGACCGCACGCGCTTCTACGGCGCGGAGATCGTCTCTGCCTTGGACTACCTGCACTCTGGGAAGATTGTGTACCGCGATCTCAAGGTAAAAAAAAAAAAGCAATCAAAACTTTGTTTTTGCAGAGACTAGAGGGACAAACAGTAATTACAAAGTTACACAGTTTGGAGAAAAGCAGATTTAATCGGGGGAAAAGCATTCTGTTCCATAGGGTAGTTTACTGCCTTGGAGAAGAACCTGCCGTCACTGATGTGTATTAGCTGCTTCATGCCTGGGTTTTTGGTGGAGAAGAATTGATGAAGTACGATCTACCACGAACCATTTCAGTTTCCTGGGAAAGTTTGGGGTAATGTCACACGTCTGGTTAAACATCAAGTCACTTTTCTTCAAGTGACGGTTTAAGTTTCATTATTGTAGTCTAACATCCTCTGATGGATTGTGAAGAAACTTAAAGACTTTATTGGAGGAAAAATTTGGTTTAATTTCGGTATTCATTTTTGGAGCAAAATACCTGGAGTATTAATATAGCCTTTTATTTGTTTAACTTGCATTGTAAAAAGCACTGTATTTGTTTTATTGGTGAGAGTGAGTCCACTTCTCAAACTTCCTTCTGGACAAGACCTTCAGAATAGTTTTGGGGTCGGCCAAGGTAGGATAGGATATGTTTTAGGCTTTGCTGCCTGCGTGGTCTCTTTGCAGGAGGCTGGATCTCAGCCACGGGCCACAGTTTGCTGACCCCTGGGCCAGCCCATCAGAGCTGCAGTGACTTCGTGACGTTGTTCTCCTTCAGGTTGGCCGTGTAAGGAGATTGGTGCCCCGGCACATGTGGAGCAGATTCCAGATGTGAAACTGTTACTTTCTCCATGAGTAAACCACATCTCGATGCTGACCTGTTAAAATCAGACAGAATTGCTGCATTTATTTATCAAGGACTAGTTGATTTAAGATATAATTCGATTTGTAGAAATGGAAGTTACGTGCATCTTTCCCGAAATTCTGTATCCGTATTACGACATAAAGAGGAAACCTCAGGGGTCCCGTCCCTCTCTTCTCGCTCTTCTCTGCACACCCACGGTCCTTCAGTCACCAAATTATTTAAGCAGATGTGGAGGCTGTTTCAGGACGTTCCATCACAGTCCTTCGTGTGACGAATGACCCTAAGGAAAACTCTCTCGCAAAGTCTTATTTTACATAGTGACAGTGAAATATAGTGTGCAGGTTTGCATAACAGTATCATTAGCCGAAGTCTGAAGGAAGCTATAAAATACTGCATTTAGGAAAAAGGAACCACGTGCTGATGACTAGATCAGGGATGGCCATCCAGGTGCCGCAGGGGACCGGTCCACCGAGTGCCCGTCCACACGGTGATTGTATTCAGCCTGAAGCTCTTTATCCCCAGGGATGCAGCAGAATTAATCACCCCTGTATCTGGTGTCTGTGTGGCCAAATAATCCTATAATGTTTAAACATCTTGAATTTAGGCTTTTTAAAAAAAGAAATTAGCTGTTTTAGCTATAAGGCATTTCCAAATTCACTTAGAAACAGTTACTTCTTCTCCGCCTGATTCCCTTCCTTCCCTCCCCTCCCACTTTGTATCTTATGAGCGCTCTTCGCAAAGGGGGGTGTGTGTCCTGGATTTAAGGAAATGAGAATAATTTTTGAAGTACTCAGTAACATATCCAAAATGTTTGAAGCTGGAAGGTAGACATATTAGCCTAAAGAAACAAAGAAAAGAGTGCTAGTATTGTATAAAGATTGGTATAATTGAGATGGTCTTGGTCAATATCTACCATTAACAGTATTAGCATGAACATATTGGTGTATTGAAGGTCATTAATACAATTTTCATTGCCCCATCCTTTCTGATGATGGAAATACTAAATATAAAACTGCAACATAAAGAGCCTACTTTATATTTGAATGTGAGTCATACAGTTACCACACGTATAAACCACTAACTTTTGCTAAGAATTAAGTGATCTCTGCTAAGTTTATTTTTTTAATATAGCCTTACCTAAAAGTCTTAAGTAAATATATAAAAGTATGGGCAGAAACATATGAATATATATCAAGAAGAGTATACACAGTGTAAACAGCCAAACATCAAACATTTACACAATGTGATTTGTATCCATATTACACAGGATTATGCATAATAGAGTGAGACCCTTACATGGTATCATAGAAAGTTAGGGCTGATCCTTAGTTTACAGGGGAGGTCACCAACTTCTGGAAGTGACCTAAGGTAATGGACTGAGTCGGTGACATGGCAGGATCATTGGCGCCTGCGAATCCTCGCTCCAGGCCAGACGTTCTTTTCATTACATCATAGAATTACATCATACATACATTACATCATACGTACAACCAGAGTTGAAAAGGAACCTAGATGGGGGAGTGCATTCAGAACTCCGAGAGAGTGAGCCGAAAATGGAATCGAGTTGCCGAAGATCAGAGGATGAGTGTTGTAAATAGATTTATACCAGCTGTATTAAAATAAAGTCGACTTGGGTGTCCTTTTAGTTTGATCCATCTCAGATTCATCTCTGTCATCTCCTTACTGATGATCTTGTTTTTGTTTATTCAAAGAGATTGAGATCATGCTAGGCTCCGTGACGATGCAGAGGGGTGGGTTCAGAGCATCCTTTACCACATTCTCCCCGTGTCCATCAGCTCCCTGCTGGTCACCCCCAGCAAACTCCCAGTCTGAATGAAAACAGCCTGCTCGCTTCACCTGCTGAGTCTCAAGACGCCTCCCCAGCTCCACTTCCAAGCACACGGTCCCTCAGGATTCCCTCCTTTACAGAAATGTTAAAACCACGGCCGTGAGGAAACCCCTTCCGTCTCAAGAATTAAATCGTATTCTTTATTCAACAAAACAGCAGACCCTCCAGCATGTACTGTACGTCTGTTCCTCATTGTGGCAATTTAGGAGAGGGAGGAAGAAAGAAGGAAAATGGGAGAAAACCAGAAGCGTGAAGAAGAGAAAGACCAAGGCGGAGAGAAGGAGCTGGTGGGAAGAAAGGAAAGCAGACAGACACTTTCTGGACGTTTCTGTTTGGTTTTTGTGTTCAGGACTTGCTGCCGTCTGTGAAATTAGGCTTGATTTTCAGGTTCCAGTTAGTCGAGAAGCAAGTAGAAGGTGCAAGATTTCTGAACTTAGATAATAAAGGAACTTTTATTTTAATTTTTTAAAAGATCTCATTGAGGCAGGTGAGATCTTGCTATTTAGTTAGATCTTTAAGATTCTCTTTGGTATTTTGTCATTAATGGCTTCAAGGAGATTCCAACTAGATAATAGTTGTGCTATGTATTTTCATTAACTGTCGAATGTTTGATAATTCTTTTTCTTTTTATGTTGAAAATGGTTGGTATTTCTCCGTTACAAAGAACTGCAAAAGAGGATACTCACCTTACCTTGCAAAATAAGATTTAGATTTGATTATAGCAGTCAGCAAAAAACGTTCTGTGAGTATTTTATAATAGCAACAGATCCCAAGAGAAATTGTTGAAAAGCATTTGTATCTCTCCAGAAGAAGATGCTCATCTCTTTGGGATTCTTTAGATCACAGTTCGTTTAAATTCAAAGAGGATTGGGTTTTGTTTGGAAAAGTTCATTAGGCTTTAGTTCTTAGAACTTACACAATAATGGCTCTTACTCCCATTGATTTAAAAAATCAATAATTTTGTTATTGAGGCATTTAATAAAATATCTTTCGTTTTACACATATGTTGAGAGGCTACAGGGTTTGTAAGTAGTGAACGCTCTAGTCACAACTACATCCGCTTCCCAGAGTGTCTTACTCAACACTCAATAGTTGTGTCAAAACAGCATTTTCCTCCGTTTCAAGAGTGTGGGACAAATTGTGTTCTTTTTCTTCCTATGCAGTTGGAGAACTTGATGCTGGATAAAGATGGCCACATAAAAATCACAGATTTCGGGCTTTGCAAAGAAGGGATCACGGACGCAGCCACAATGAAGACTTTCTGTGGGACACCAGAGTACCTGGCTCCGGAGGTAGGTGGGCGTGGCTCAGGCCCCGGGGGAGGAGCCAGGGTGTGATGCTTTGCAGGGAGAGCCACTAAAGCATTCAGAAATCGCAGGACCGGCTGTTTGTGAATAAAAAAGAAAACCCCCGGGACATTGCCTGACCGGCTGAGCCACCCCGCCAGGCCCGGCCAATTGTATAACATGTCACAGGGCAAGGACATACGTGCCTGTTAAACTTTATAAACCGTATGAGCACAAACGTACTAACTGCAGTAGAGCAAGTCCACCTTTAGTTGTCGGCCATATACGTTTCCTTTTTTTTTATTATGCCCTTTTTGATTCATTTATTAAACAGAATAATCGGATGACTTCAAAAGTATTTACAGTTTTACAAACCATTTGGATTTGCCTTAGAAACAAAGAAACAGATCAGTTGAATTTGTAGTATTGTGGGTTTTCATAATTATTGGAAAGGATTTCGTGGGGGGAGTTAATGGAATGACAGTAGCTACATTTTGGAATTCAGACCAGAGCAGCTCCTACTGACAACCCCATGCTGAAGGTCCCAGAGTAACTCATTTGCATGTTTATTCAGCCGCCATACACGGTGTGTCTGCTGTGCACTGGGTATTTTCCCTGGTGCTGCGGTTGCAGAGAATAGGACACGAAGGAAACCGCTCTCAGGGAACTTACTCTGGACCAGGAACGTCTGTGAACGTCGTGAGAAAGAGAGTTTTGTTCCTCTGGAGTGAGTTCGGTTTCCCCCGCCTTCACTGGCCATGGGTGATATGGTCCCATATTCAGAGTAACAAAGTCAGTTGGACCCGGTTAGGGGAGATGATTTCTGAAAAAGGTAAATACATCTCATTTTGAAAGCAGATGATCTCCTAAGAAACAGAGATATTGTTCTATAGGCAGACGTCACCAGCCAAAGAACAAAACCAAGAATGTGATTCAAGCCAGGCTCACCCAGGTGTTTCTAAGTGGAAAGTTTGCAGTTCACAGGAGGTGTAGAATTTACTTTTAAAGACAAGTGAGAAAACATTTTTCTGTGTGTGCGTTTATGCAGATATATATATGCATAAATAAATTTATATATATATATAATATTGCAGAAGCCTGGTCCTTAAAGCAGTTTATATACCTTTGGCTGTTATGTGGTGATTCATAATTAAAATCTTGACACCTCCTTTTTATTGGGGAGAGTGATCATTGTACTTTTTGAGGATGACTAATCGTGAAGCAATTAATTTCTCATGCAATTTTAATTCCTATATTTTAAGTGTTCATGTCAAACGCTGCGTGTTTGTTAAATCAGAGTAACTCTGAATGTGCTTAGTGTTACGTTTACCAACAAGAATTTAGGTCCTTTTTCTGGTCTTCGATACGAACCATTTCACTGAGAACACTCACCGTTCATTAAGGAAGTGGTCATTGAATATTTATTAGGTACCACACATTATGTTAGGTGCTGGGAATACAAAGACAGCAAGAAAAGGTTTCTGTCCTCGAGTCTCGTACCGCTGGCTAAGGTGATGAGGTATGGAGCATAATTACTGCTGTGCAGACACTAATTGCTTCGTGGTGGAAGGAAGGGAAAGGAGTAGGAGCCGTGGGGAGGGTCCGGGGGCAGTGCAGCAAGCCGGGGGAGCAGAGGCAGGACACGTGGACAGGGTGGACGTGCAGTTTAGGTCGCATCTCCGGGAGAAAGGAGAGTCACTTCTGCGCTGAGAGTAAAGGTGACACTGTGATCAGATGTCAGAGTGAGGGGGGACCGGCCGGGCCTGAGACTAGCTCTCTCCCCACTTCCCTGCTGGTTCGTTCGCACCTCTTCTGAACCCTGAAATTTCTCGTACTTACCCTTGTTAATCCAGACTTTCCTCGATGGGTGCGCTGAGTGCTAGTTTTTTATCAGCCCAGAGTGCATTTTTCAGACTGCCTCTCCGGGGAGCGGCTGTCGGCATTTTCCCTTCTTCTGTCCCCGCGGAAGCCTCGTATACCCGGGCTGGGGCAATCTGACGGCGCCCTGACAGTGCTTGCGTTTCTCTCCGTTTTCACTTAGTTTAGTTTAATCTGGTGGAAACGCTTTGCTGTTTAAGGGTTAAGGGCATGTAAAAGTTGCTTCAAAAAGACTACTGGAAATCAGTTCAAACTGATTAACTGTCCTATATATCAGATTTATAGCTTATTTGTAAATAAACTTAAGCTTTAAATGAACTTAATTTTCTTCTTCTGGCAAAGACCAGCAGGAAAAACAAGTCTTACAGTACAAAAATGGCATTTGTTGAAAAAAGAGTATTTTTAAAATACTTGTTCTCTTAACCTCTTCCGATGAAGACATATAGAGGTTTATGTTTCTGGGGTGGGGGCGGGAAGCAGTGTTTTTCAGAGGCTGCAGAGACGGAGTCCTAGCAGGCACACAGACTGGCGTGTGCGGGGCCACAGCTCTAAATGCGCTTGTGTCTAGTTACAAATGACTGTGTTTTTGTCCTTCCTGGTATTAGAAGGAGGCGAACGCGACCTGCCATGCATTGTGGACAGTGACATACTTTGAGGGGAATTTGGTTGTGCACACTCTGCTCTACGTTCCTGCCTAGAAATTAGAGAAGAAATTAGAAATCACGTCTCAAACCTTACTGCTAAGTTTCATTATTTGAGTTGGCTCTCGTTGGATCCAAACCATTTTATACAGTGCTAATTATTTAGTCTCAGCTTTGCTCTTGAGTTAGCAGTACCTGATCGACTTTCCAACTGTAAAACAGTTTGAAAATCAAATGTAGCTTACATGCAAGACCCAACAAAATTAAAAGTGTTAAGTGCGTTTTGGCAGTTCACTTTTATTATGCCCAGTCCTCAAATGTACCAGCAGATAATCATCTGAATGTTAGTTATTTTTCACATGTTTATGTGATCACACAAAAAGTACACGCTAAAAAGAAGCAGATGGTGACAGATGGGGAAGGTTGAATAAGGTGGTTTTGGAAACCTAGAGAAATGCACTTCTGTCTGTAATAGTGTAAAAATAAAAATTATTTTTTTGATAATCTAACTTGATAATCAAGTTAGAACTAACAAAAAGATTGCAAAAAAATGACTTGAATGTTGGAAAATGTATAGCCTCTAGTGTGATTGCTATACAGAAAAAAAAAGTTTATAATTTTGTTTCATATAAATGTAAAATTTTTCCAGGGACTGAAAATATGTTTTTGATGCATTTTTGGTTTTTAGAACCTAATTTTTAGAAAATGTTCACTTACTGTCATTTATTTTTCTTTAAAACCTACTATCTTTATTATATTTTTATATAACCCATAATTTGAAAATATCTGAAATAGACCAGAATATTTTGATACCTATGTTGATACAGAGATTCACTCAAAGTCATTGTGATGTTGTGTATAAATAAGAGTAGAAAGGGAAATTAAATTCTGTATAAATTTAAAGCCAAAGATAGAAATTACCTTCTTCGGAAGCAGTTGGGAAGATCACATAGCATAAGGGCAAAGGTAGTTGGTAACGTGCGCTGGCGTAGCTAGGCAGGCAGTGAGAACCTGGAACTTTATTTACTTCTTTTAACTACAGCAAAGAGTAAATGTGAAAGGTGCCATTTTCTGGGTTGTCAATACAGTCTTTCAGAGATTTTAAGTAAGTGCAGCCAGAGTTACTTATGTTTGCACATTTAATCTGTAGGTAAAAATAGTGTAGCACACAGACTTAACATTTTGCTTAATTTCGGACAAAATTCTGCCATTGCTACCAAACTGTGAAACTAGGTCTTAAAACTTGGAAGATTTTTGTTAAAATAAAAAGTTGCGTTGGTAGCCTTTCCAGAGCTGCGTACATCTCTAATGGTTTGTTTAGTTATCAATAACCCGTGGAACACCTGTCCTCCAGGTGCCTTTGAAACCCTTGTCCTTCCCGATGGATCCGGAAAGGTGTCATCGCCAACGTTAGGGACAGATTAAGTCTTTGTTTCGTGTAGAAGTTGTGTGTTTTGTCTTGAGAATTAATATTGAAAACTCTTGTTGAATGTGTCCACTTACTATTTATACTGTTCCTGGACATTAAAAACCATCCCACTCTGGCTCGCAATGGAATATATTTAAAATGTGAATCAAAATGGCATTTTTCTGTTCAACGTTGACGTCTGTCAGTGTTTCTAAGGAGCAGGTTTTATTGGTGTGGGGTCTGTCAGTTTTTGTAGTTGCTATTTTTCACCTGAAGTTTTTTTTTTTTTCCAGTGTCATGTGGTCTTTTATGTTCATCGAATACTTTGGAGTGGTTCTAGTTCAGCATAAAATTTACTTTTAAATTCTCCGAAGCATAAGAACATACCCAAAAGTAACGCTAACTGGTAACACTAGGGATAACCGGTAGTGTTTTACATTGGCTATTTTTATTTGGGTCACAAAGACCCAGTTTCTTGGAATCCCATAAAGTCTGTTGCTTCGGAATAAAGAGCATGTGTAGAAATCTCTGGGAAGATATGTGCTAAGGATGAATCAGTCACCAGTGTTGTACCCACTTAGCTTTTCTCTCGTTCAAAAATGTTGCCTGTTGTAGCCAGAGATCGCTTTGGAAGGTGGGATGTAGGCCGTGTGCAGGAATTGTGTGAGTGCTAGTGGCCGGCCGGAAAGCACAGAGCATCCTAATTCCCAGCAGGGGCAGTTACAGTCTCTTAAAAATTATTAGAGAATATATATTTATGAAAGAAATGCCAAGAAACCATGCAATCCATAGTTCTTATGACATACATACTTCTCCCGAAGCTGCAGTACATTTTAGAATATGAATTAGAACACTTACAGGTCTTTTTAAAGCAAATTTCTGTGATGTTAAAATGTGAAGGACTCCCATAGATGATAAAGTCGGCGAGAGTGGTATATATATAGAACATACACGTGAGCTACCTGAAATATAAAGGTTGCCAGGAAAGACATTTTTTTGCATTAGCGGAAAACTGGTTCCTCCAAGTTCGCAGTTTACTCTCACAACATAGGTGGGCAGACAGTTTGTTTAGATGTTTAGTTTTCCTCCATCTGCTGTGTCAGGGTTATTGATTGAGCAGCAAGCCACTCAAGGGCATGTGGAGCCTCCTTACAGTTGCCTGCTCGGGTGCACCCGGCGGGCTTGGTGGACGGACGCGCAGGGGGAGGTCGTCCTTCAACCTTCCAGTCAGTCCTACCGGTGAAAGAGTGTCGGAGTGAAGATGTTTTTAAAGTGCGCGTTAGCCAAATCAGTATTTACACTGGCGATTTCAATTGATAAATATCATTTTAAAATACATGGTTTATTATTTAGTATCACTTTTTGAAATTAGTCACCATTCATTCAGGAAGTATTTGTGGTGATTTTTTTTAAAACTCACCTGGTGGTTTTTTATAAATGAAAATGTCTACATCAGATATTACGGAATATTTAATAGTAATCGGTACCTGCTGTGACCTTCTTGAACCTTAGGTTTTGCTGTATCAGAAAGTGAAACAATCTCTGGGTCCTGGTGGAAACAGCGAGGTCACGCCCGATCTTCCTGCGTGTCTGCTGTTTGGAGGTGGCTTTGAAATGGCCTGTCATCATTTTCCATCGTTTGCGTTGCCTTTCGTGTTCCAGATCCTCTCTTGCCCTCATCTGCCTGCTTGGGCGTTTGTGCTCAGGGTCATGGTACAGTGAAGCTACGTCTGTGGTCGCAGAGAACCCTGGGGACGGGAGGAAGCGCGAGTGTGCACTTCCACACCGAACCTTGAGTCCAGTGAGATGTCAGCAGCAGTGACTTTCCAGCCTGCAGACACTTTCTTTGGATTAATTCTTTCAGATGAGAAGTCTTTCGGTGGATGTTTCTCTAGGAGCAGGTTTCGGTCTGCATTTCTGTCCCAGTTACGGGCACTGTTGTCAGAGTTGAACAGGGCACAGCCATTCATAAAGCCCCTCTGTCACCGCTGGTCAGGCCTTTGCATTAGTTCTCGCGATAACCACACAGTAAGTCAGCCTTTGTGCTGGGGAAAAGTCATCGGAGGTGGCCAGAAGGAACTGCAACTCCTGGGCTAAAGAATGTAAATTTTGTGTGTTTCTATAATTTTGGAAAAAGAAGTGCTTCGAGTAAGGGAGAAAAGGGCCTTCCAAAAATAATATAAAGAGGCCGTGGATTTTAAGTCCACTCTGGAATTTCTAGAGCGTTTCCAGGTGCTGCTTTGAAATAATTTATATTGAAGGGGAGTGGAAGGACATTTTACGAATAGTGATAACACATTTTATATTGTATATCCACACGTGGAATATCAGAATCACTTTTATTTCTTGTGTATGTCATCTTGCAGCCGTTTGGAGGTAGGAGTTGAGCAGAAATCGATCTTTTTGATTGGCAGGGAAGACTCGGATCAAGGAGGCTGGTTGAACTGCTAGGGCGTTTTCTCCTTAACGTTGCTTAAGCTTGTGTGTCAGAAAGATAATACGTTACATCAGATTTGTTCAGTACAAAGTGGTTCAGCAAGCGGTTCTAATTGTAGCATTCTAGCTCTGTATCAATTAAAGCACATTGTGTTCAGAAGCAGAACCACTTAGTTGGAGGGTCGGCATTCATTTTACAAAACTAAATAAAATACATTTTATTTTATCAAACAGATTTTTTTACAGGGCAGTTTTATTTTTCAAATGCTTATTTCTCTACAAAAATTCCCCCCCCCCTTTTTTTTTTTATGTGCTCACTTTCCCTTCTGGCTGCAAACCAGGTATTTAAACAAAAGTAAGGGACTGCCAGTTCTGCCAGCTGGGGAAGGGCACCCGGCTGGTGAGACGTGGGTTCGGGAGGCAGTTAATCCAGCTTTTATGCTTTTTACGGTTTTCTGAAAAAAGAGGTTAAAAACCGCATTTGGCTCTTTTTTTTTTTTTTTTGCACGTGCCTGTGTTCTGTTGGTGCTGTAGGAATGCAGAGAAAGGCTACTTGGAATTGAACGTTTTTTGTTTTAGATAAAACCCTGCATCTATTAGGAAAAGGCCCACAAACAATGCATTCAACTAATTGGACGTGAGGGAGAGTCTTCAATAATCAAAAATCACTGGTGTTTAAAAAGTGCGTTTTCTCTGACTTAAGTACGCAAGTGGAATTTCTCTGCTTCATTAGGGTATTTCTTGGTTTTTGTATGTTCTCACATTACTCAGTTCAAACCAACAAGCATCTGAAATATTTCCAGCCAAAGATAAAAAATGAGAATTTGCTGTTTTTCCTGAAAATATTTTGGTTAGTTTGTGATGTACCAAAGATCTTTGGAACACGTGGACTGGACCTGTGTTCCTCGCTTGCCAGTATTATTTGTTCCCAGGCTTCTTCAGCCACAAAACAGTGATGCAGCTGAATTAAAAATCCTTCAGAGCATTGAAAATGCTACTAAATGTATTTTCAAGTGACATAGTGGTTTTTCTTGAAAGTATATGCCCCATCTTCAAATATCCTGTCTATTGAAGTGCCTTCACTATTCAGTATGTCATGCGCAGTTCTGTGAAGTTATCAGTAAATGTAAATGAAAGCCACGTAGGAGTAGCGATCAACAATGTGTTTACTTATTCCGAACGAAGGCAGTTTGGAATATGAGCCCCGCTTTCTTCTGTGTCCAGTTTTCTCTTATGCTATCAGTTACAAGATCTTTTAATTAATAAATTTTATGTGTATGGTTTTGATCGGTTTATCCCAAAGATAAGAGGCTCAGAAAAAGTAACCTTTAAGATGATTCAAATGTAATAGTTAAAAATACGATATTGAAAGTTTCACGTGAGTGGGGAAAACTCCTTTGGATGAGGAACCCACCTGATAAAGAGGCACAAACGTCTCCTGAGCCAGTGGCAAATTACCATGTTCCGAAGTGAACGGGCTGCTCGAACAGAGCCTGACCCTTCCATGTCATTTCTTCCGAGACTTAAATTGCATGTAATACATTTTGCAAAGCAAATTCAAGGTATAAACTACACAGCTGTTGGGTGCACGATTCATTTTGTCAGTGTGTTACAGCCTAGACAATACATCTTCACATGCACCTTGTCGACTCAGTGTTTCCCGAGTTTAAACACGGAGGGGCCTCCAAAAGGGCTCAGGTGTGTTTTCATGGTGGCCGTGCCCCGTGCTCTCGCCGGTGACACCATTTACGCCTGTCCTCCCCCGTTTGATGGGTGTCCCTCAGCTCTTCTCGGTCCAGGCACGTCCACGAGATGCTCTGGGGTCCACACGCCTGAGCTCTGAGTTGCCGCCCAAAGTGCCCTTTGGTTTCCATGACGTGCTTACAGGACGAAACGCCAAGTGGACCTGGGAGGAAGCGTGCAGGTCTGCCCGTGGTCTCCTCTCGTCCCCGTGGGAGCTCACACACGCACTGACGTGGCATTGGCTGCATGGCCGCCTCCGTCTCTGTGGCACATTACAGACATTGGGCGTGATGTGTGTCTGTTGGGATGCTTCCTAGTTAACGTCAAGGTCTAAAAATTGCCTGCCTGCGCTTCGAAAGGTAGAATGCCTTTCGTGTGTAAAAATCTTCTGTCTTACCCAGAATGCTTCCAGAGTTCGTGTGTAACACCTCCTCCCCGGTCTCACTTTCAGGTGCTGGAGGACAATGACTATGGCCGGGCCGTGGACTGGTGGGGCCTGGGTGTCGTCATGTACGAAATGATGTGTGGGAGGCTCCCTTTCTACAACCAGGACCACGAGAAGCTCTTCGAGCTAATACTGATGGAAGACATTAAATTTCCTCGAACACTCTCTTCAGACGCAAAATCGTTGCTTTCAGGGCTCTTGATAAAGGATCCAAACAAGCGGTAAGCCACCGACATACATACACACCCAGGGAGTCGCTGAGGAATGCGGTTCACAGTTGCAATGTGGAAATTAATTCAAACATAAGTAGCTCCAAGAAGCAGTGTAGTTGGTGTAGACATCTTCCAACTGAGATGCTGGCTTATTTTTAACTGCATAATGGAGAACATTGAAAAAATTTCCTGAACTGTTTCCTAACTTGGAAATTTTATGCACATTTTACCAAATAAGGATTCGGGGAGTTTTACCCGTGTTATGGGTGTTACCCGTATTACGAGCGGACTTTCTTAATTGCCCCGGTGCTTCCGTTGTGGCGTGAGGCCATCCCTTTTCTTCTCTCCGTCTCTGGACCTTCGTTTTCTGCCGATTCACGTTATAAACAGCCCAGACCCGTCTCTACACTCCTCTCACCCCAAGATGTCTAATGCTGTTTTTGCTCGTCCTTTGAAGATAATTCCTTTCCATGCATGTCTGAAACTAATGGTAGAAGAAATCTTTATACACTTTGTATTTCTGTTTTTGTAGCTTCAGCTTTGACATGAAGAATCCCGCAGCCCTTTCCTCAATGAGCCACAGTGTTCTTTGCTCATTTTATATATTCATTTAGACACACATTTTATGTCATAGATGAAATGACTATTAATTCTTAATACCCCTTAAAGTAGGTGTTTGTGTGTATCTACGTATATATACATCCTTCCGTCTAGGTACATACGCATTTTTTCTGAAAATATCTTAAGCATCCTAAGGTTAGATCACTTCATATATTGTTGACTCTTTTATGACACCTCACATGTTTTTCCATATAAGTTTGGTTCATGGTTGCTGCTCAATATGTATTTGTTGATGGGCTGGATTCATGAAGGAAAGAATAAATGAAGCTTAAAGTGGAGGCTTCATCTACCCTAGGAATGGTTTCCATTACATGCTTCTGGCTTCTAAAGTTATGAGGAACATGATTTTACCTCCAGCAAAAATAAGCAAACATAATAAAAGAGGTACCATTTTTTGCCTTGTGAAGAACCCATCACAAATGCATCTCGTGATTCTGGAAACAGGGACTGTACCTTGCATTTGCAAAGTGATTTTCTTACTCCAGCAATTTGGTATCCATTGCGTTCCCTGCGGGTTCAGTGCCTTGCAGAGTCGGTAGGTGGGCGGGGTAAATATTACTCTCATTTCCATGAAGCCTTAAGCGATTTATCCCGGGTCTCACAGGATATTCTCACGGTACAAGAGTAGAGAGCAAGTTTCTCGGTGCCTATTTGAAATTTCTTGCGCAGGGTGGGACAGAAGTAGGCTTACAGCTGTTCGTATGGAAAATAATACAATAGTTTATAATAAGTAATCACACAGAACAAACTGTTTCATGTACTCAAAACTGTAAGCCCACTTTTGCCTCTTCCCCGTATATCTTATTTACAACACATCAATTTGGGTCATGTTTTGAAATATATTCCATTTAATGTGATAATTCCACAATGAATGTCACAGGTGGTACTTGGTGATTGGCAATCATTAAAAAGAGTTAGGATGTCCATTTTAACTACTTGACTTGGGGACCTCATACTTGGTGTGTGTTTCAAGGGCGGTGAGTTTTGGGGCCATCCTTTCCTGGCTCCTCCTGGTGACTTTGTGGCCCCCTCTATATGTGCTGGTGGAACAAAGTTGCACTGTGCTTTTCGTGTCTCTGTCTCATTCACTTTTGTTCTCATCCTCCCCCCCACCCCACAGTGTGGGTAGCACATAGTAGGTACTTAATAATTAGTCAGTAAATGCGAGGTAAATTTAGAACGTTAGTGGCCCGGTAAGGAGCACAACTCTTAGAGGTCCGTGCACCCAGAGGCTGGCATTGTCCAGAGAGGTGTGGTGTTTTCAGTGTTCTGCCATTTCCTTTGTAGTAGATGAATCCAGCGGCCGCCACCCTCCCCCAGCTGCTGCATTAAAATATTGCGCATGCAGGATGAACAGAATAATCCGCTCTAGATGTTCCTAGTGAATAGTTGGGGCGCAACACATATTCACAGATGCTCAGGTTAAACTACATACGATTGCTTTTGAAATTATTAGCTCTGTCCAGGGGTCAGAAGACCGGAGCTGACTCGCAAAGGAGTTGCAGTTTTGCATTGGTGTTCGTGCCCAGAAACTCACGTGTAAAGAACAGCTAGAATTGCAAACAAGTGTGGCATTTGAGAGGTTCAGTAACTACGTGTAGAATATGAATTGGGTAGCAATAGGAGATGAAGCTGATATGTTAGATTGTGAGGACCTTACGTGTTTTAGAAAATATTTAGTCTTTGTTCAGAGGAGATGAGATGCCACTGAATTATTGAAAGGGCTGGAATACTAGTCAGATTTGTGTGATGACAAAGGTAACTGGCAGCTCTGTCCTGGATGGGTGAGAACAGTGAAGGACCAGGAGCAGGCAGTAGGAGTGGTCCAGGTAAAAGGCGGGGTCCTCCCTGAACAGTGGCAGTGGGGCGGTTAAACGGAACTCTGAACGGAGAAGTGGAAGAACCGTGAGGAAGCGGAAGAAGAGGATGCCGCCGCTGTCCAGCCCGGTGACTGACTACTTTGGAGAACGGAGTCGTTTTAACAGGCGGTGCACAGGCAAAGGAGGAGGCTACATGGGGTAGATGCTGGTACTGGCTTTCACTGTACGGAGTCTGAGGTTTCTATTGAAACCCACATGGGAAATACTACCGGTGCCTAGTGGAAACCCAGGAACCGAATGTCTGGACTAAGGATGCATCACCATCTGGGCGGGAGCCGGAGCCGTGAGAGTGGTGGCGACAATCCTGGGAGACCAGGGAGCCCACCAGGGACCCCAAGAACTCTTTGGAAAGATACTCAAAATTACGTTATTGTTTATCTCCTCATCATTATCCCCTTCGACTGTTTTAAATTCTGCCTGTATTTTTCTGACCCTCTGTACTGAGTTGCTATCAGTTCTGCCCAAGGGCCAACTGTCATTTGGCTTTTATTTCTTATTCTCCATTACTTTATGCTCATTCTGTTAGCTCGCCTTCACCTTCCTCGACAGGCGAGAGTGTGTAGGGTAAACAAGCCCGGGCGCCACCTTCAGCACCACCAGGAAAACAGGAATTCCACCGTGTCCTAGTAACGAAGATCGTAGTGGCCGAGGAGGTAGCTTGGCATTCTGATGGGCATGTCATGTCAGAGTTTAGTGTTCCTAGACGTGAGTATCTTCGTGCAGATCATATTCGATATTATGCTGGAGTCCGAAGTTGTCCAGCAGGCAGTTGCTGGCATTGACGTTTTTGACAGCTTCACACATTGAGGAAGCTCGTGCTAAAGAACCTGTCCCACCTTTTGAAATGCAATCTAAGATTATATTGTTAGACTTTGCGTCATATTTGTGGCTGACCCTTTAGTCTTCTGTGTTCGATAAGTACAGATTAAGCACCAGCTGTGTCCAGAGCCAAGCTGTTGCCACAGAACAGACAGACAACCAGGGCCGTCGGGCTGGGCCAGAACCTGTTTTTTACAGAGGACTCCGGTGGTTCCCCCCGGGCCCCACCACACGCCCCATCTCATCCTCGGTTCAAAATGAAAACAGTATTGAGACAGACAGTAACACAAGTGGAAGAAAATACTACAGACTTCGGACTCTTCTCATGCAGATACTTTGATGCAGACTTTAAACGCTAAATTCTTCTCAGAAACGTGTGTTTTGGTATTTCTGCTGGTCTGGTTTCCTCAGCACAAGCCTGATGAAATGCCTTTTTTGGATAATTCAGTGCTGCTCTGTGCCTTCGAAAGTGTTCACCGGCAGGAGAGACACACGCACCTTGACCTGGGATGGAAAAGGGCGAGGCCAGGGAGTGGGGTGCTGCGGGCCACCCACACGCAGAGCAGCCAGTCGGGGAGCCCCAGGTGTGCACACACCTGAGCGGGTCCACCGGGGAAGCTCCGCGACAGGGGCGCAGGCCGTGCGTGGGAATCTAGACCGTGCACCGCAGCTGACCGCTGTGCGTTCCACTGCACCACTGTGTGGGAGGAGCCTGGGTTCTTCGAGGTCTCCAGGTGCTTATACCCGGTAAGGAGGAGAATTTGCTAGAAGGGCACAGTTACTACCTGCCTGTGTCCCTCCCCCCCAGTGGCACGTGGACGCTGGCACACGGCCACTCACAGGAGACGATTGTGACGTTTCAGGAATTGGGAGAGTTGGTGGTTTTACAGAGTTGTCACTAAAACCTAAATTATATCAATCTGTAAGTTAAAATATTAAAATCAAAGGTAGTAAACACTCAGAACTCATCTCTCTTTAATGATTTTGTTATATTTTACTATCGCCCATGGTGGGAGATACTTACCTCACTAGAATTGGCAAATACTGTAACTCAGGGCTTGATTTATTGTTTTGTCAGTTGTTTGGACTTTAAGTGATAGAGAAAAAGTTAATAATACAGATGAAAATTTTAAAGGTTGTTGTATCTATGTCCATTACATTATGAATGGCACAAAAATAAGGAAATGTTCTTCTGCTGTCCCCAAACTATTAGCCATTCAGCAAGGAAGTCACCTGCATGTCGGACACACAGGTGAAGCTCTGACGTATGTGTGTCTTGTGTGTCGCTTTTATCTTAGTCTTTACTAGAAACAAAAATATCAGCTAATTCTCACATCAGAACTACTCACAAGTCTGTTGGTGGCTTTGGACTTCAGCAAAAATTAACACAAGTTCTCTGGAGCATCAGCTGGTTAATTTACTCACGATAAAGAGCATTCTGTATTTTTATTATTCTTTATAAATTCTGTGCTTTACGTCCTTTGTATCAGTACAGTTCATAGTAAACATACCCCGTGCACATCATCGGTGCGTGATCTCCCAGGGGCCTGGGGGTTAAGCATGGCCCTGGGCACGTCATTCCCAACCGTGGACCAGACCAGTGACGCCGGCAGCATCAGCGTCAGATCTGACTGGATCCCCTTCCCTCTCTTTCCCTCCTCCTTTCCCTGTCCTTTCTCTTTGCCCCCTCACACTTCGCTGTCGCCCTCCTTCCCCGCTTCACGCTGTTTTTCCCGTTCCTCTTTCTTTGTCATGACTCGTACGCACTGTATGAGCTGAGGAAGCCAGCAAACACCTGACCTTCGTCTTGTGTGGGGGTCAGTTAAATAAAAGCACCTTCAAAGATGCGGGAGGTGTATATTTACATGCGCTATAATTTATATGGAAACTTGCTTATTAGCAAATGACATCGTAATGCTATTTCACAGATTAACAATTCCATTTCCATGGAAATTCATTCGAGGTGTGAAAATAGTCTGTGAGTGTCTGTCTGTTAGTAGTGCTCTACAAATTGTTTCTCTAACCAATTTAGACATTTCAGGATCTATGTCAACAAGGGTGCCTTCTGACTTGAGCCGTTGTAAAGTAAATTTGGTTCATAGAATTGACAGTGATAACAGCTACCACCTATTGCGCCAGGTGCTGGGCCTAACCTCAGTTTTCTTGTCTGTGGAATGGGGACGATAAGTGGGTTTCTCATTGTCACACACAAACTCTAGAGCCGGTTGCCGCTTTCAGGTCTGCCACCAAAGCCTGTGTTCTTCTTAGATGCCACACTGTCCCGAGTTAAGAGCACATGAGGGAAATTAGATCTTGCAGTGAAAGATTTTTATTTTTATGACTATCACAAGAACTATTTATCACACAGAAAATTACGTTTCGCAAAAACTCTGTTAGGTGTTGGGCTTATGTAAACGTTTCGTGCTCATTTAATTTCATTCCTATCTTCATAGCCTTGGTGGAGGGCCAGACGATGCAAAAGAAATCATGAGACACAGTTTCTTCTCTGGAGTAAACTGGCAAGACGTGTATGATAAAAAGGTGAGCTACTGCCATAGTGTGGTATGTATGTGTTTTTGCTAAAATGAATTTACAGCAAAAAGGTTTTCAAGTGGATACAGTTGAATGTTATAATGATATTTTTCACTTCTGCACTACCACGGATTGCAGATTAAACATTTAATTGAATATAGAAAATTCTGACTCCCAAAATACATCTTGAAATTCTGTTCCATACAGTCAAGCAGTTGCTATGTCTCCGAAAAATAACACGTGGTGACAGGTTTCCTATGGTGCCCAAGGCTACAAGCCACAACCAAATACCCTCTGCTCTACCCTGTCCAAGGAGGAGTCAGTCAGAAAAAGTTCTTTGGAGACAGTGGTAGAGCACCGGTGTGGCCTCGCTGACTGCTAAGAGACTAGGAGCCCTACGGAGATTCCTCATCAGTGTTGGGCTCCTCCTGTTAAGTGGTAGTTCGGCATCACCAGGAGGACGCTCTGAGGGTCCAACCAGCACAGCGGTCAGGAAGCCGGGCCCGCCTGTCTCTGCAGCCCCCGCCGAAACAGGCCCACGTGGCTGCCCGGCGGTGCACGGACAGAGAGGTTCACAAGTGGGGTAGGAGAAGGAACTCCTGAAACACAGCCTCAGACGATGCCAAGGGAGATAGGAGAAGCACCAACCAAAAAAGTGACGAAGTTTCCGTGAGCAGTAGACGTCCTCGTGGGCCAATGCCCCTCACAGTTTCCTGGGCGTCAGGGCTGCTGAGCCGACTTGAAGAACGACAGCCCGCCCGCGCAGCCGCTCTCTCTGCATCGGTGGTTAGTGCTCTTCACCAGTGGGGTTGCTGAGGCTTGGTCATCCTGGGCTGGCCGTACCTAATATTAGGGAAGGCGCGTCAGGGGTGTATGTTTGTGCTGTTTTTGTAAGTAATTCTCCTCTAAGCCGAGAATTATTTCCATGTAACAGGTTTTAAAATTGGATGTTACCATAGGTTTTTTGTACCTCCTTGATCAGTTTGAGGAACTCCCTCTGTCCCTAGTGTGCTAGCAGTTTTATCATGAATAGGTGCTGAGTTTTATTAGACACTTTTTCTGCACCTGTTGCAGGACTGAAGGGGTTTTCTCCTTTACGTTCTACTAACGTGGCGAATTGCATGGATGGGTTTTCTAGTGGTAAGTGAACCTTAGATTCCCTCAGCCTGTCCGTGGTGTGTTCTCCTTATTTCGTATTGCTGCATTTCGCACAGTGTGTTTCTTAAGGATTTTGACCCCTCATGTCATGAGTGATGTTGGGAGTTGTCTTCCTACAACGTCTGTGTACGATTTTAACTTATAGCTCGCATTTCCCTTTGACAAGCAGGGTGGGACGTACCCCCCCCCGCGGTCGTAGGCTGTGGTGTGTGCAGACGGTGTCATCGGGCCCTTAAACCTGGGGTAGAGTGCGCCAGGGAAGCCGCTTGGAGTTGCGACTTTGTGGGAGGGTTTTAACAATCGACTCAATTTCCTTTATAGTGACGGCACCGTCAAGCTCTCTGTTTCTTTTTGAATGACTTTCGGTATTTTGTGGCTTACAAGGAATCTGTTATCTAAATATTCTAGTTTATTGGCTTAAAAAGTGTATAGTCCTCCCTTCTTGTCTTTGCGGGGTTTGTTGCGTGTGCAGTGGTGGCCTTGCTCTTGGTTCTGACCTTGCTCATTAGTGTCTTCTCGCACTTGTTCTTCATCAGTCTGCCTGGAGGGTTAGCAGAGTTGCTGAACTGTTTTGAAAGAACCAGCTCTTGGTTTTATGAATCTTTTGTATTGTTGTTCTGTGTGCAAATGTACACATTTGCTCTTTATTATTTATTCTAATTTTAATTTGTATTCTGTTTTTGTCTGTTTTCTTTCGGAAGAGGCTAAGGTGATGTTTGAGTCCTTTCTCTTTTTCTGACACAAGCACTAGCGCTACAAGTTTGTGTCTAAAGACTCAGCCATGCTTCGCAAATGGCGACGTTGTGTTCCCATTTCAAGGTATTTTTAATTCCCCTTGTGATTCTATCTTAACTCAGGGGTTATTTCAACGTGTGTTGTTCAGTTTCCAAATGTACGGATTTTTCAGTTCTTTCTCTTTTTGACTCCTCCCTTAATTGTCTTCTGTTTAGAAAACATATATGATATTCATGCATTTAAATTCAGTTTTATGGCCCAGAAAAAATGGTTTTTCTTGGTATGTGTTCTGTGTCCACTTGAACAGAACATGTTCTCCGTTCTTACTGCATAGAGCTCCGCCCATGCCCATTACGTCGGTATGGTTGGTAGTCTCTTTCATGTCTCCTGTGTTGTTTCGTCTACTCGTTTTACTAGCTACTAAGAAGGGGTTGCTGTGATCTTTAACTATATAATTGTGAATTTGCTTTGTTTCCTGTACTTTGAAACATCTGTATTGGCTGCATTTGTGTTGAGGATGGTGGCTTCTGGTGAGTTCATCCCTTTATCGTGATGAACTGTTCCTCTGCACTCATAGCACTGACACTTGTTTTGGAAGCTGCTTGAGAAATGAGTAATCCAGCTGTCTTTCGATTCCGTGTGATGTATCTTTTCCCATTATGCTGCTGTTAACCTGCGCTGTATATTTAAGTGAATTTCCTTCTAGACGTCGTGTAGTTGATTCTTACTTCTTGTGGGGAGTGGGATCTTAATGTGTGATGGTCTTTATTTATGACGTCGTGGGCCAAAAAAGAAGAGGGGAAAGTTTAAAATGTGAGGCATTGCAGCTGATCCTGTCAGCTATATTTACAATCACATACATGGGAACAAAGTGTAAAAACACATGTAAATGATAGAGAGACTTGAGGACAAAATTTACTTGAATCATATAAGTGTCATTTTGTGAGTTAAAAATGATTGAATAGTAGTGGGAGTAAAGGAATGGAAGTTTCACAGTATCTGTGTGCGAAATGAAGTAAGACATAAGATGCAAATACATGAATAGTATCCTGTAAGATTTTTTTATTATATTGAAAATAAAAGTAAGATGTAAGGAAAAGGCAGCATCTGTGAGGCAGAGCTAAAGGGATTGATTAGCCTTTGAGGAGTGGGAGGGGCCCTCTGTGGGGACTCGCATGGGAAAGGTTGTAGAATTGCCCACAGAAGCAAAGGTGTGTGTGAGGATCTGTTCCAGAAGCTGGGGTAGCCACCGCCTGAAGGCCCCGCTGTCCTCATTGCAGGTGTCCTGCTCGTGACAGTGACCACAGTGTGCGTGGTCAGCCTCAGAGGCCGGGGGACAGGCACTGGCTCCTGTGGGGGAGGGGAGGGAACTGCAGACAACCCGCCTGGGGTCGTGTGCAGAGGTGCCGGGCACTGCTGGAGGGCCGGGCGGAGGCCGGGGGTTTTGGAATGCAGCTGTAAGCCCACTGCTACAGCCTGTTCTTTGTAAGGAAGACTAGTAACAACGTAGAACAGGAAGAATGAGTGTTTAAGGAAGGCTGATTTGGAATCTCTGGCTCACTTTGAGGACCGCCTTATATTTATTGTATTTGTACTTATTTTCCAGAGATTTCCCTCAGCAAAGAAGAGGAAGCTTGCTTGTAGAGAGTAATTTAGGTCCTGGGTAGTTTCTTTTGGTCATGTGGTTAATACTCATTTCATTGGAATGGCAACCGATTCAATGAGAAAGACGCATTCTTGCCACTTTAGTGTGAAGAACAGAGAGGGACCTAAATGAAAGAATGCCTCTTCTGAAAGCACCCAAACGAATCTTCATGCCTTACTAATGTTAAGTCTTTCCATTCATTCATTAGACTTCTGCATTCCCGTTTGAAGATTCATCTTTGTGTCTGCCCCATATTTTGAGTTAGAACTTTCAGTGTTTGTATAAAACTGTGTGTTTATTATTTCAATGCTCTTTGTTCTTTTTTTTTTTCCTAAGTCACTTTTTTTATGGAGGCAGAATTCTCCCTGTGAAAGACGCACTTCAGCGGGTGCTGGTGCAGTCCAGCTCTGCAGCGCTCACCAGCCTCGGGCTTCGTCTCTTCATTCCTTCTGGAAGGTTCAGGCTTCTCTCTGATATTATTCCCCCGTAGCCTAAAGAACTTCCATGGTCGTTCCTCATAGTACAAGTTGGTTGGAGAGGAATTTGTTTTCTTTCATCTGATGATGCCTTTACTTCAGCTTCATTCTTCAAGGGTGTGATCACTGAGTGTAAAATTGTGAGTTTGATAGTTCAGTGAGGGCTTATTCGACTTTTCATTCTTTGTAAGTTACATGTTACATTTCACTCACTGCTCTCAAGGTATTTTTGCTTGTGTGGTGGCCCTAGAACATGCCAGTTTGACTAGTCCGGGCTCCATTTCCCAGAATTCCCTTGGCTGACGAGGTTCTTGCAGAAACTGGGAAGAGTGAAGCAGCCATTCTGCAGCTCCTCCTGCTGTTGCCAGTCCGTTAGCTCCGCCCTGGGCAGGAGATGTGGTCAGGCCTACCTCTGCTTCATCTCCCCCTGGGTGGGTCCCCTTTTCACTTTTCCCACTCCTGGGCCAGGCGGAGGGAGTATTTAGCTCTGTGACAAAGGCCCCAGTTCATGTAGGATTTCCACCCCATCAAAGCCAGAGATGGTAAGAAATGGTGTGGGATTCCATCCGTCTTGTGTGCACCAACCCAAGCTTTTTTAGGGTTCCACGTTGTTCTCCTCCTGCTTTACATACGTCTTCTCACTTCCCTGTCCTGTGGACGCCAGGCGCTGGCATGAGCATGGAGACAGCAGCCTCACAGGGAGTGTGTGAGCAGCTCCTACAGCTGAGTGAGGTCAGATCCCCCCAGTCCATTCAGTGACCCACTCACGTGCGTGTGCACACACGCACACACACAGTACTGCTTCTCTACGCCCAGTAACAAACGTCCAAGTACATAAAGCAAAAACTAATAAAACTGCATGGAAAAATAGACGAATCTGTAATTAGAATTGGAAATTTCAATACCTATCTCTAAATGATTGGTAGATGTTAGGAAATCGTTAAGTTTATAGAAGTTGGCAACTCCACCTAATTGACATTTACAGGACACTGAACAGCAACAAAAGGATGCTCATTTTTTTCGAGATTACATAGAACATCTAGCATGATATAGACCATGTTTTGGGTAAAACAACCCCGTGAGTTTGAAAGGATTCAAATAATTCACAGCACGCACTCTTTGAATAAAATGGAATGATTTAGAAATCAAATCAGAAAGATATGTGGAAAATCCCCAAGTATCAGGAAGCTTATTGCAAGTTTTAGTAATTCATAGGTTAGAGAACAAACCAGAAAAGGAAATTAGAAAGAATTCTGAGTTGACTAAAAAGGAAAACAAATCACATTTACGTCTGGGATATAGCTACTGTGATACTTAGGGGAAATTTGGAGTTCCAAAGCATTATACTCAAAAAGAGGAAAGATCTAAGATCAGTGACTTATCTTGCATCTTAAGAAACTAGGGGAAAATTAAATCCAGTGGCCAGTGCGCTAAAGCAAGAAAAAGAAATAAAATGCATACAGGTAAGACAGAAGTAAGTCTGTCTTTATTCATGGACAACCTGATTATCTATTTAGAAATTCAGATGAAATCTACAGAACAGCCACTAAAGTTTAACCTGCGGGTTGCTTAATACAAGATAAATATACAAAGGATTGCAGGATAAAAAATAACTAATTTTATTTACAGCAGCAACACACTAACATGAAAATCAATAAAAATATTGCTCATAATAACAACAGAAATATGAAGTACTTAGGGATAATTTTGACAAAAAGGTGTGAAAGACCTTTGTACTGAAAACTAAGAAATATTGTCAAGAGAAAGTAAAGACAACCTAAAGCAATGGAGAGATCTGCCGTGTTCGTGATTTAGAAGACAGTACTTTTAAGATGTCTGTTCTCTTAAAATTGGCATATAAATTCACCATAATCTTAATGAAGATGCCAGCAGGCAATTTTCTAGAAATTCTTAGGTTGATTCAAAAAATTGCATGGAATGCAAAGGACCTAGAATAGCCCAAACTACTCTGACAAAAAACAAAGTTGAAGGACCTGTACTGTCCAACTTCAAGGTTTCTTATTAAGTCACAGTAATCAAGACAGTTGGTTATGGACAATTAACATCTTTATTTGCCCATAAAGATGGGTGAAGAGATCAGTGTAGCACATTAAAGAATCTGGAAAAAGGTGCACATGTATGTGGTTAACAGACTTTCAGTAAAAGTACGAAGGTGGATCAATTCAACAAACTGCTAAAACAACTGGACATCTGTGTATTTGTTTAAAAAAAGAATTTGTAGCATATACAAGATTAACTCAACATGGACCATATTCCTAAGTGTAAAGTCTTCCTGAAGAAAACACAGGAGGAAATAGTTGTAGTATTAGGTAGGGCAGAAATTTTGTAGACAGGACAGAAGCATAACCCATAACGAAAAATTGGTAAGTCAGACTGTGTCAAAATTAAGATTGTCTGGTCTTCAGAAGACACTTGTAGAGAAAGGAAAAGGCACAGACTGGAAGAATATTTGCAGATCCCAACTCTGATATGAGACATACATGCAGAATACATAAAGAAGTCTCTGAACTTCATGGCAAGGCAAATATATACATGGGTAAATATTTGAACAGACATTTCACCACAGAAGAAGTGAACTCATGGAAAAGATGGTTACCCGTTGGGGAAATAAAGTTAGAACCATGGTGCAGCGCTGCCGCTCCTCAGCGGGTCTGGTGCTGGGAAGACCGACCCACCGAGCTCGGCAGGAGCTCCAGCCGGCGGCCAGACCTGCTCTCCTGCACTGGGGCCGTCCTGTCACTCGGGGTCCTTGAGTTTGAAAACATGCTTTTAATTCTCATTCTCCCTGCTTCTCTTAAGCATAGTCTGTCTAGAAAACAATGTAAAGAGTTTTGCATTATTTAACATAAATTTGGTGGAAAATGCATTGATCTAAAGCCAATAGTGTATTTCTGTTTCTGTAAACTTTTTGTAAAACAGGCTCACTTCTGTCCTTCTACTGCATTTTCCGTTTCCCGTCCCCACGGGGATTTTATTCTAAAGACAGCATCTCCTGCTCTGAGCAGTCCTCGTCAGAGCATGTGTGCTGACTCGGGCAGGCCCAGGCTAAACAGAGTCTGCAGGCTCTGCGTGGAGGCGGGGCCCTGGAGCAGGACCCCATCCTGGCCCGCTGCCTCCCACCCGGGATCGTCGCAGAGGTGGGGGCTCCTGGGGCTCGGGCTTCTGTAACCACCCGAGTCCCGAGACCAGGCCCCACCCCGGGCCTGCAGCAGGTGTGAGACTGAGCAGTCCACTCCCGTCTCTCCCAGAGCAGTTCGTTACTCGTTATGTCTCCTGGGCACAGCCCCCTCCGAGGGTCTGATGAAAGCTGTGGGCAGACGCTGGCTCCTAACTGCCGAGAACCCCGATCCAGAGCAGGCCAGGCATCCGTGCCCGTCTCCACCAGGCAGAGCTCGAGTTCTTTGCCAGGTCCCAGGGCAGTGCCTGCTCTCTGTGGCCCAGAGAGTAACTCTGTTTTCTGTTGTGTTTTGAACAACCACCTGTCCATCGGGCTCCGGGAAGGGAGGAGCAGAGAGCAGCGAGTGCGTCCGCAGCACCAGGGACAGCCTGCACCCTGCAGCTCGGTGGCCTCCCTCTGGTTCTGTGTGTGTGTGTTACCGAGGAAAGACGGGGACGGACTCTTCTGTAGCTCTTCCCACCCTGTTCTCAGGTCCTCGTGTGTTCGATTTCACACGAGGACCCCTCTCGCTGTCCGCAGAACAGCCGTCTCCTGCCGTGCTGGGCTGAGACGGTTGACCGGCAGCCTCCTGGACCTTCCGTGGCGATGCAGCAGTCTTCAGTTAGTTGTGTTCCCATTTTATCTTCAAACGAATTTTCCTGAAGTCCGTTAACCGTGCTTTCTCTTTCTTCTTACAGCTTGTACCTCCTTTTAAGCCTCAAGTAACATCTGAGACAGATACCAGATATTTCGATGAGGAATTTACAGCTCAGACTATTACCATAACACCACCTGAAAAATGTAAGTAAATCTAGAAGGTGATCCATAGCATGCTAATAGAATCGAAGAAAACAGTCATGTTTTTTATTAGATATTTTCAAGAACAAATTCTACAGCAACTTCTTTTCACTTAAGAACAGAGTTAGGCCCCAATGTGGACATACAAAGAAAGGTAGCTAAGAGGAGAGTTTTTCTTTCGGGTAGGAAACATTACATATGGAAAGATTGTGCGCTTAGAAGTATACACTAAGTAGCCCCCCAAACTCCGACAGATTCTTGTGACATCAGCTAAAAGGATTCCGAAATAGAGACTTTCCATGTTTCCCATTCACACACTAACTACCTCCAGAATTTCCCTAGTTTTGTCTCCTACTTACTAGCTTTAAAATTCACTTTCAGTTGAATCATTCTTTTATTTACTTAGATTTGTCCTAAGCAAGAATATCTGTGAAGACAAATTTAGTTTACAGGTAATTTTTGGTGCCTACAAATTAAATTCCGTATCTGTGTTTGTGCCCCACTTAAAATCATCCCCTCCATTAGTCTGTGTCCCACACTTTGATAAGTGGCCTAAATAAATGGGCCCCAACAAAAGGAAAGGCCATCAAATGGAATTTAAAACATTCTCACATGCTGACAAAGGTGTGTGCCTGTCACCGTTAGTCTAGAAATGAGGGTCAAATTGAGTTTCAGGCCACATTTAGGCAGCTGAAAGGTTTCTTCAGATCTCACATCTGGTGGCTCACACAGTGACTCCATGCCAGTTTTTCTCTCCTTTTCTTTTCCTTTATATTCTTTCCTGTGTCTCTTCCTCTGCGTCCTTTTTAAAGGCAGCTCTGATGGTAGTGGGACTGCCCCGTGCGGGCCCGTCGCGAAGACAGCAGTGACGGGTGGTGCCCACTGCAGACACTGCGGTAGATCAGAGAAGGGACTGTCACCGTTTTTGTCCCGGGGCGCCCAGGAACTAATCACTGAAACTCTGCAGCTCTCCAGAAGATAATATTTTTTGCCGATTTGACAAAAAAATACGCCTGGTTTTGATTCATTCACACCAGACGGCTGTTGGCTGTTGTCATTTCTTTTATTGGCCAGTCTAAGGGAAGGGAGCTCAGTGCCCCTGGCAGAGTAGTCAGGTATTGCAGGTTTTAAACATTCTCACGCTCCTCAGCTGAAAATTGCGCACTGGGTTAGAGCATTGAAAGGCCACACGGTGTCGCGTGTCATTCAGGTCAAGAGTTTTCCTCCTGGGGCTTGTGGCCTGCCAGCAAGGGGCTGGGAGCAGCCTGCCATGAAAAATAGGGTTCTGCGTGCGCAGATGCTCCTCCTCCAGACCTGCAAAAGGAGCCCCCCAGTTCGTACGGGAGAAGGAACAGGCTGAAGCCCAGAGACACGCTGAGCCTCCCCCAGCCCCACGGGGAGTGTCGGCCGCCGCCACAAGGACTCAGCCAAGGACTGCCGCCTGGGTTCAGCCGAGGAGTATCGGTCAGGGAAGTGCCACTCGTGGCGTCACCCGTGGTCGGGTGGCAGGCTTCCACGCTGTCCCATGTGCCACTGCCAGACTCCTAGGATCTCTGAATGTCGAGGACAGTGTTAGAAAGCCCATGGAGTTGCGTGCAGGTAGCTGAGGACTCCGGGCAGGAACGGCGAGCGGAGTGGGCACAGGCCTGGCGTGGTTTGCTGGCCCGGGCGGATGGTGGCAGAGTGATTGTCTGAAATGGTGGATGACACCAGTGAGTTGTTGGATCAGCCAAGGGCCCTTTACCACAGTGTCATTGCCAGGCCCCGTAGTCCGAATGACCGATTTGGCCTCAGTCGTCTTCGGGCCTCATCGGTCCCCTGCTAAGTCCCTCTGGCAGCTTCGCACTGCACTCCGAATCCACGCAGCCCAGGCTGCCCCCGCAGCCCGCCTGGTCTGGGCCCACCCACCTCTCCGCTCCCCCCCATCCGCGTCTCCCTCCATCCCTGGGTTCCAGCCGCCCCTTGAGCCTGCGTCACCTTCTCGACTCGCAACACGATGAGACGGAATGTTATGACAGGGTCTTTTCGGGCATGTCATGTTTTACCACCAACAGCAACTCTGTTCTTGAAAGAATATGTGCCATTTCAGACACGGGCTGTGCTGCCTGAGCCAAGTGTCTCCATGTCTTGGAGGAGGGAAAGGCTGAGATGGGACAAGCCCGCACATCGCAGTAGCTCTCGGAGTGGGCGTCAGAATCCACCTAGGGCCGCAGGCCTAGTCAGGTCTGGGTTTGGGGGCACAGTGGGTGTGGCCTTGACCTGGGACGAGGCCCTGGATGGCCCCCAGATGTGACTGTCTAACAGGTTCACTAGTCTGGAGGACACTGTGAACTTGCTCTCTTACCTCGCAATCCAAGGTCTAGAGAGGAAAGCAGACGAAACCGCTCAGCAGAGTGGGCTGAGGCCAGGCGGCCAGGCAGCTGGTCTCGTGCGGCCCAGCGGGCCCGGCAGTGGCCTCGGGCCATGAGCCACATCCCTGGGTCCTCCCAGGGCCCCCAGGCAGTGCTTGTAGCTGGGTGGTCCTGGCTGTGTATCCCACAGGCCCCATTAGTGGGCAGGTCACAGGAGAGTCGGTGGAGCCTGGTGCTGTGGTTGCATTTCCCGCCACCTTTCCTGCTTCAGCTCTGAACGGCGGGGCAGGGGGGGAACCGCGTGGCGCTCTCACCGCTGAAGCAGGTTTCCTTCGCGGAAGCACAGCGGCACCAGCACTGTTAGGGGTTGTCTCCCACTTGCCACTTTGCTTTCGTGAAACAATGCAGTTCTTTCTTTAGAACACATTAGCAGTTAAAAAGGCAAAGGGTTCCTTTTGCACAAACCGCTGCAGTGACGTGCCGGGTTGTCCTTGCTGGTGTTAATGAACTGAGCGCGTCTGGGACCGTGTCATCCTGCGTCAGGTGTCTTCGTGGTTCTCTGCCTTCCTCTGCAGGAAAGGAGGGTTTCTTTGGGATCTAGTAGCTTTTGCTGCCAAATAATTACATCTGTTAAATGTTCTGAGACTATTAGACAACAGAGATTTGGGCATGGGGGGCTGGGGTGCGAGCTGAGGCTTCTCTTGGGGTCTTTGGGTTTTTGTGTGGTTTTTTGTGTAGTTCACGTTCATTATCACCGTTGTGGCCTGTGAAGTGCCTCTCAGAGCAGGAATGTCCTGATGTCCGCTGATGGGGTGTGACAGACCCATGTCACTGTCACCTGCTTCCAGCCCCCTCGCCCTGCAGCCCCACCTGCCCGTGCAGCGCGGAGGGCCCAGGACCCCGAGTTCTGCCTCCCAGGCCCACAGCCCCTCCCTCAGACCAGGTGCGAGGATCCAGGGACTGACTCTAACAAGGTCGAGGTCCGGGATCCTCGTATAACTACAAGATTTTGTTTCTGTACCTTCAGAAATGTGTTTAATTTGTTACTGAAGTGACAGAATGAGGACTTTTTTTTTTAGCATTTTAAAGATTTTAAGCCTTACCTGAGGATATGTTTATTGATTTTGGAGAGAGGGAAAGAGAGAGAAACATCAGTTGGTCGCCTCCCACATGTGCCCGAGACAGGGACCAAACCTGCAACTTTCTGACGCGCAGAACGATGCTGCTCTAGCCCCCGAACCACCCGGCCAGGGCTGAGGACTCTCAACTCTCCGCTGACCTGCAGCCTTACAGCACAGCCACACCTGCTCCGAGACAGGAAACCCACCTCCCACCCCTACGAGAGCCTGGCCGGCCTGTGCGAGGGGGCGGGAGCAGCCTCTGCTCCTCCTCCCTGGCCCAGGCCAGAGCCCCAGGCTCCCCACCGCGCTGTCCCGGCCCCCCCCCCCCCCCACTTTCACAGTGCACAGACGTGCCCCCAAACGGCTGGTTATGGGGAGAATTGTCCTGAAGTGTAACCAGCACAGGTCAAAATCTGAACATGAAGTTCAGCTTCCTTTTCTCTAGAGTTTTCACACTTTGTGATGCGACAACAGATCCTGCGTCTCTAGTAGAGCTGAAGGTAGGACAGAAAGTATTTCCTCTAAAAGATGCACGCGGTTTGCTTGGTGCCTGACCGACACTGTGCCCTCGGGGGACAGAGCTTCCCCTGCATCACAGTGTCATTAAAAGGAGAGGAGCCCTGGGAGGTCGGTGGTTTGCGGGGGCAGGAGCCACAGACGCATTCAGGTCTGTGTTAAGAAAAGAACACAGAAAGGAAGAATGGGGGGAAGAGCAGAAACGCTCGTTCGTCTCTGGAGGAACGAGGAGCATCGTCCTCTGTCGGGTGACAGCGTCAGTGCCCACAGTTGAGCGGGACCTGGCTGAACTGTTCTCTCCCATGCCCCCTGGAGACGGCTGGAGGAGGGGAAGGGGTGGTCCCACACCTCCGTGGTGTGTCGGAGTCAACGGAGCGCTTCTGGTGAAGAAGAGACGGTTGGGTCTTTGGGTTCAGCCTCACCTAATGCAGTCCCTGCTTGTTCCCTGATGCACCTGTACTTAGATGCTGACCTCTTTCCCTCTTTTTCTCCTCATTCTAGTTTAAAATTTTATTCTAGGAGAACTGGGAATGATGAGTAAAGGCAGGTATTACATGCAGAATAAATGTAAAACCTTAAACGTGTGATTGAGGACTCAGGCGAAGTAGAATCCCATGAAGCTGTGTTTTCCGATCACACCGAAAGCAGCATGAAGGAAAAGCACAAGCCTCTGAAGACAGTTGACAGTGGATTCTGGGTAGACGATTCAGGTGCCTTAGATTCACTGGCATCTGTCGTTGTGACACGCACAGTTTCGTGAAACCAAAGGCTATTTGTTCCTTCTGACTTTAAAAAAATCTTGTTTTCTCCAGTAGTACTTTTTTAGTTTATTGAGTCTGCAAACATGTCTCGAAGGTGATAGTCTGATGGTATTACTTCTTCATAGGTCAGGTGTTTGAAAATGAGAGCCTTTGGAGATTAGTTTGGTTGCTGTATGTTTCGTCGGCCAATACAAGTTTCTAGGAGCTGTTGCCTCTGTTAGTCTCTGTTACGTGAGGAGTTAGAACTGTGCAGACGGGGAGGTGACGCCGGAAATAGGCGTGACATTAACAAGGCTGCTTTCCGCCCGCAGATGACGAGGACGGCATGGACTGCGTGGACAACGAGCGGCGGCCGCACTTCCCTCAGTTCTCCTACTCGGCCAGCGGACGCGAATAAGCCCCTCTCATCCTGCCACTTCACCGTCACCTTGGGTTGATCACTGAACACAGTTCCCGGACATCACACCGGTCCTCGCCCCGACAGACGGCAGGCGCGCCTGCAGCCGGGCAGACCGGTCCCAGGTGTTCGCCCCTCGCCGCCTCTCGCCCACCCGAGAACACCCATAACGCAAATCCACCGACTTTTCGTTTTTGCATGAACTTGTATCTCAGTCCAAGGTCTCATGCTGTTGCTGCTGCTGTCTTACTATTATAGCAACTCTAAGAGGTAGCGTTACAGTCTGGGGAAGTCGTGAGCCTCCACGATTTGTTAGCGCACCAACTGCATCTTCCCACCTTTCCGTTCCGTGTCCCCTGACAGTGAAGGGTAAGTGAGATACACTGATTCTAGGTACATTTTTTCACTTTCTAGACGAGAAATCAAAAACTAATTAGACTAAGAAGATTTAGTGTATAATTCAGAACAAGCAATTGTGGAAGGTGGTGATGTGCGAATGCAAATTTTAGTAAAGCATCTCAGAGCAGTGCGTAAAGTGAGCATCTATTGCTAGGATCTGGCTGAAATGCGTTAGGAAGTGTTGGCGGGAAGGGCCGAGACATGTGTCTCTAGGTGTATTTCCATTCCTGTTGGAGACTGTAGAGGCAGCCGGGCGTCCCGCATGGACTCCAGGGGCTCTGCCGGGAGGAGGCCAGCACACGCACCGCGAGCCGAGTCCTGTCCAGGGCCCGCGGTGGGCTCGGCACCCGAGAGCATTTCCCCCTGTGCTCAGAAACCTCTTTCCATGATAATACTCATCGCCTCTGATGGCCGAAGAATGTAGACAGGTGTAATGATCCTGCTTTTCACCAAAATCTGTGCACCAAGGGAAACAGTGTTTGCTGTATTTGTTTTGATTTTTAATTTCAGTTCTACGGGAGTGAGCTTTTTCTCAGATGTCAGAACTTTGAATGTCCTGTTACAATCTTGTCTCTATTGCAGTAGTATTTATTTTCTAGTGATGAGCATCTGTGTCATGTTAGCCAATGCAGCTCCAACGTCCATAAAACAGACGCACTGCAGTTTCTTTTGACCCACGTGCAGGAACGGACATGTGAGGAGGTCCACGCACTTTTTCTCCTTTGCGACACAGTTTGGACGAGGCTCTGAAATTGTGCACGTTGACTAGAGTTTGGCTGTGGGAGGACAGACGCTGTCATCCAGCCCCTTGGTGCTAAAACTGAGGAGGTCCCCAACTACCATGCCAAGGGGTCGGGGAGCAAATGGGTGGTGATGTTCGCTCGTTGGAGAACTGAGAGCGTCACCACGGCCTGACAACATAATGAAATGAAGAAAACTGAGACCCGAACGATGATAAATGAACCGGCTTGGCAAAATAAACACATCCCAAGTGTTTACGAAGTAGGCGGGCAAAGATAAGAACCTGGTGTGTTTATTCTGGTCGCGGTACATTTATCACTGAATTAAGCCATCAGGGAACCAACACAAACAGAGCACCTCCAGCTTCTCTTTCTCTGTATATACTCATGTCCCCGAGCTCCAACACTTCTCACTGAACGGGGGACATGCATGCAAACCTCATCTTTCTCCTTCATTAACGACGATCTTCAGATTAAACCCTTTGGTGCTAGGAGCTGGCGTTTTCCAAAGCAGCCTATGAGATCCGGGGGCTGGGGCCCTCCTGGCGGCCCCAGCGAGTGACCGTGCAGATGTATCTTAGGTGAACTATCTGACAGCTCCCAAACGGAAGGCCACAGTGTGATGTAGTGTCGTGGTGGCATCCTTAGATGAAAGAGCAAGTGACTTTCTGAGCAGGATGAGTCTACTCACACACAGGTGTCTTAGCCTCTGGGCGCCAGAAGTGTGGCTTCACGGGCAGGAAACTACGCCGGCCGCGGGGGCTGCCGGGGGCTCAAGGGCATTCTGCTAAGGCAGCTAAGACATATCCAGACATCGGTCTCACCCTGGTTTTTCATATCTCATCCTCCGTATAGAGTAGGCGGTTACGGTAAATGGTAGTTCACTCTTACACATGTGGCTCAACTTTTTTTTCCCCACTTGGAATTAGGTTGAAAGTTTCACCGTGACAAGAAAGTAGACTAGAAGGTATGTCTTGTAAGTTGTCTTGCATTCATTTTCTAAAAAAGAAACTGATGAGAGGGAGGGAGGGAGAGTGACCCCGGCCGCTCACAGCGTGGGGTCCGTTCGAGGGATCCGTTTGTGGCGCCAGACACTGGGCGCATCAGTAGATTTGGTTTCTGTTTTTTGTCTGTCTGTTTTTTGGGTTATTTTCCAAACCTTAGTGATTCCCATGAGCTTGGCCAAGGGCATGTCCTAAAGATTGGTAACAGCATGGACAGTGCCCCAGGCTGCCCACTCCTCACAGCCGGCACTCAGTCCCCAGCCCCTGTTAGGGGCTCCATCACCCCCCAGCCTCAGGAATCTGTTCAAGTCATGCCGGGTGTTTACTCGGCTTCCATCTTGAGAGCCGTCCCTTCCCTCACTCCCAGGTCTCAGTCAGGGGTGTGGAGGCACAACAGAGACAGGAACGAGTCCGGGAGGTTTCCCGAACTTCCCCTGTGCCTGCCCGGAGCCGGAGTTCGGATTCCGGCCGACGGAGAGGCCCGAACCCCGGCGCTGTTCTGGCAGAACGCGGCTCCGTCGGTGAGCACTCCACCTTGAACTACGGAGCGGCTGTGACGTCCGCCCCCGGGGACAGCGGGCCCTTTGTGCGCGGCCCTGCGGCAGGGCGGCCCCCAGCTCTGCCCTCCACACCGATGTCGTGGCGTCGCCCCAGTGTCCTTTTCCACTCCCCACTCCTGGTTTCCGGCTTCCTCCCGCTGACCGTTCTCGCAGGGCACTCGCTTCTCCCCGAGCACACGCCAGGGCGGGCCTTCCTGACTGAGCGCAGGGTCTACTCACCACACCTCGGCGGGCACACTGGGCTGCCAGGCCCCCACTGTCTGCAGCAGGACCCCCGCCGCTGCTCCCGGTCGTGCGCCGCAGGCATGAGCTGTACAGTATTTATTTAAGTAAAAAGAAAACCTCCAAATTGCTCACTGAATTACCTCCCTGTAGCTTTCTAGTTTGTGACATTTCTTGACTTCTTTCATTAGATCCACGCAAGAGCTAGTCATCTGGTTAAGGATGTTAAGCAGACGCGACCATGAACCCGAGAAACTGTATTACTATTACCGTTGGTCATACTAAAACTGTTTATTTCCTGAAGCATATGACCCACAGGATGTGAAATAACTACCAGAAACTGTTTTTGTACACTGTACATCCTCAGTATTTTTACACGTATATGATAGGGGCACATTATTTTCCTCGTACAGACAGCTTAAATAAAGCACTGTGTCAATCTGCTGCTTCGCTCTTCATTGTCGTCAGACGTTGTTCTGTAGCCTCAGAAAACCACATACTGTTCTTTTCTGGAAAAAGTTTTTTAATAGCTCCACCTGGTACTAACCTACCTTGTGTAAAGTGTGACAGGAGAACATGTAGATCTCTTGTAGCTCAGAACAACCTGGGATGATTTCATGACTGCAGAAATGGCCATCGTGCGGTAGTACCAAGTTGGAGCGAGGACTCTGTCCAGGGGGCAGCCAGTGAACTCCCAGCCTGGGTTTAGGACAGACTTACCGTGAAGCCAGGGGTGGGCTGTCTCCCTGGAGGTATGTAAGACCCCCATCATCGTCACACCAGAGGGTTTGGACCCAGAACTCTTGAGGTGTGTAATCTGTAGCTCATCAGTCAAGTCTTCCCGGGACGTGTCTCTGGTGCTTCCTTCCTTCACGGCAGATACAGCTTAGGCGTGGGTGACGGGTGGGTGGGACGACCGGACTGCGATCCGATCCCCCTGCGGTCATTGTGGATGGGGCCTTTCTCTCGTTTTACCTCAAGGACTCACTGTCGTAGAACCGAGGCTTTGCTCCTGCGACTCGGCCGGGGGAACGGCCTCAGGACCAAAGTTGGTCAAGCGTGTGCGCGTGTGTGTGTGTCACACTTACATGTGCTCTTCTCCCACAACCACTGGGGGGGGCAGTCCAGAGGGTTAAGATAAAGTGACCTCTTACAGTTCTTTAAAGGTGCTATTTTTAGAATATTGTATAATTTATTTACTGTATTCCTAAACCAGAACTAGAGACAATTAACATATGTAACAGCCTTTCTGTGTAGCACGTTCAATGAAATCACAAACCTTCCGACTCTGAACAGGAGTTCGGCTCCTGCGAGCGTGAACCTCTTCATGCTCTTGAGATGCGGATGGCGTTTTCCCGTGGGCCGCCCCACCGCCTCCGCGGCCTGGCCCGCACTGACTCTGGGGGACCGTGACGGAGCGGGGGTCACGCGTCGCTGGCCTGGACGTCGGCTTGTGGTCGGGGGCTTGTCCCCCAGCAGCCCTGCCTGTAGTGCCCCCTTGTCATCCTTGGAGACAACGCAGCATCTCTGTGCCCACTTCTGTTCCTTTCAAGCATCGGAGGGCTTCACTGCGTGTGCCCGAAATACCAGTCTAAACTAGGACAAAGACCCGGGTGCAGATGTTGACGGAAACTGAGGGATGTAGTTTCACTAAGTGTGCTTTTCAGCTCCTCTCAAATAAACACTGCGTATGGGAGAAAAACCTGACTGCACCGAGCCAGAGACGCTTTTTTGTCTGTTGTTACCCGAGTGGAGAGGCCAATGCCGGTGCTGCCGGGTGCCGACCAGGGGGCACCAGTTAGCAGGGCGGGGACTGGCGGGGCCTTCGGGGCGCGGATGGGAGGCCAAGTGACAGATGGTGTGCAGATCGCGAGGAGGGAGAGACACCGAGTGGCAGGGAGGCAGTGCGGTCCTCAGTCCCCTTTGGCCTGGTTAAAATATGTGCCTTTTCGGTGTGTTTTGTTCATCGTTGCAAGGTAGAAAGCAAACGTTACAATTCAAGTCTTTTCCAAAGTTCATTTATTGAAACCCATGTGTGTGATGTAGCGTACAAATGAGCAGATTAAAAAATCCAGCGACATTAAGCCATCTCCGCACATCCACACCAGGAGGGCTCCCCGCCTCAGGCTCGGGCTCCAGCCCGGGCACCGTGCAGGGACTGCTCGGGGACACGCGTGGCGGTGACTGCGCGGCCCCAGCCATCGGAGGCAGTGCCCACCGGGAAGGTTGCGGTGTGGTGCCGCACATTACGGACAAGTCAGATGAATGTAAATAACTCTTTGTAAATCGTTTATTTTGCTGTGTTCATCCAGGTCAGCAATCAGATTGTGGCATGCTGGGTAACTGGAAAAAAACGATAATAAAAAGTAAGTTTAAATAGATCATGTTCTTCAATGTGATTTGTCTTCTCACTGGTTACCTCTCCTTTGGGTAAAAATGTAGAAAGTGTAGGTGAGCAACTGTACGAAAAGGTTAGTCTTCACCTGGCCTGTGGGCCGAAGCCCTCGTGGACCAGGAACACAAGGTGAGCTACTTGTCAGTGGTTCAACTGTGGAAGCAGCCTGCGTCCCAGGCATCCGGGCCCCTTAAAAACGGCCGCCCGACAGCAGGACGTGGTCACAGTGCCACCCCTTCCCTGTGCCGGAAGGGAGACCCGGCCCTGCCAGAGTCTGGTCACTGCAAACTGTGCGGACCCGACAGCGAGTGAACCCAGGTCGCAGGCCAAGTGTCAGAAATTCCTGGGGAAGCCTCCATGTTTGAGGCTGTAGACAACTCATCGTAACGCCTGTAGAAAGGCACTTTTCCCTGGAAACCGCCTCCCGTGTTCTGCAGGAGGGGATCTGGTGCCCGGGCGCTCTTAGTTTTTAAACAGGTGTCGATGTTCCGGAACTAGCTCCTGTGAGGTTGGGGAGTCACGGGTTAGCACTGGATCCTGCTGCCCGCCCTGGCTGGCTGACAGGCGCTTCCCGTTCGTGCAGACCACGCCGGGGAGCAGTGTCAGAAGCCACTGGAAGTGGAGTGATCCACAGAGCTCCAGTCCCTGCCCCTACTGCGTGAGAAGCTGGGTAAGACAGGCCTTCCCCGGCACAGCGTCCAGTCCCTCAGGTGGATGGGGCGGGACACAGCTCAGAAGAGATCTCGCTGATCTCCATTTTCACTCCAGCAGTTAAATCGAACCTGACGCATGCAGAGCCATGGGCCCCGCCCAGTCTCTTTAGCCTGAAGACACGTGGTCCTTGCACCTCCCAACACAGGCTTCTTTAGGGGGAATTGGAAGGGAGGGGTGCCTGTGAACCCGACTTCAGCCGTGATCACTCTCAGAGGAGTTCCAAGCCAGGGCGATGCCTTGAGCCAAGAGCAGAATTCATTTGAGCGCTGATATGAACATCAGTCTGCTGGCTTTTTTAAAACTGAGAAAAGATAATGTCTGCACTTCAAGGAACTTTCCCAGGTGTGCGAGGCACACTGGTTGTGACTAAAGAGCGTGAGTCTGTCCACACGGTGCAATTACAATAGTACGTGGCACACCCTGTGAGGGCTGGGGGTGGGGGCAGAGGGGGGTCGGCCCTCTTCCTTCAAGCCCCGGAGGGCTTCGGTTCTCCGGTGCCCCTGAGTGGGCCACAGGGAGCCCCCACTGCCCCAGGGACCTGCCTTGGCAGAAGGGGTCCCCTTCTGTCCCGGGTCTAATACTCAGTGCAGAGGCTGCCTGCCAGCGGCTCCATCTGACCATCCAACGTGTCTGCCGAGAGCGGCTTTGCCTTCGGTCTCGATGGGACCAGCCCAGGGCGGCTCTGCCGACGCCGCGCTTCGAGTCTGTTCTGCACCCCGCGGGCGCCCTGCTCACCTGGGTGCTCTGGAGACGGGCCCACTTTCTAACTTGGAAACCTCAAGGTTGTCTCTGATAGGCACAAACCACAGAGGGCGCGTGAGCAGTGGGCAAGTCCTGAAGGCGAAGGAAAATGGATGGCAGGGTTTGCTTTTTTTAAACCAAGCTCCAGGAGATTCATTTCTCAGGCTGAGTCCTGGTGTGGCCTCCGGGGCCAACCAGGAAATGGTCATCACCTGACCTGTTTGTTCCCTGCCAGGGCCCCGTCCCTCCACGTGGGACAGCAGCGCTGAGTCCCCCTGTCACTTCTCTCCGACGGCTCTATGTTCTCTTTGGTCTTGGTGTGAGGGCCTGTCTTCACTTGCACACGATCTCACTGTCCTGTGCCGAGTCCCCAGCACCTGCTGCTGCCCGGCCCCTGGTGACATTCGGCCAGTGTCTGGCTGAGCAGACTGACCCTACTGCGTCACCGTTCTGTCTGCTGGCTGCAGCACCCCCATCGCCCTCCACCTGCCGAGGCTTCAGGAAAGGATAACGGCTCGGTGCCTCCCCGCCCTGTGGGACGTCTGTGAAGGGTGAGCACAAACCGCAGACAGTCGGGCTTCTTGGCCATCGCTTCTTGGGGTGTCCCACACTTAGTTCTGGAGAGTCGGTTCCTCGGTGCACTCGGCAGCCACCACGGCCCTGCTGTGCGGGAGGGGCGGGCCGCCTGGGCTGCGGCTTAGGCCCTGAGCCCCCAACTGCCCCGCTTCCTTCTGCCTTTGAGCCTGTCACCAGAGCCGTGGCCTCCTGGGCAGCGTGGCCACACCTGCAGTTGTCCGTGGCTGCCCTCCAGGTTAGAGGGGCCGGCGGGGCGCCCTGGCAGCAGGTGTCCTGGAACACTGTCCACGGCTGTCATGCCTCCTCCCCTCGGCCAGCCCTCCACGGCTAGCTCATGTCCTTTGTTCTTCTCTTAAATACTAACTGTGCCTTCTCTCCGCAAACCCTGACTTCTGTGTCTAATGAATTTCTTAAGTTTGACTTTAAATTCGGAGTTTAAGACACGAGGCTCTCCATGACCCGAGCTTTTCCCCAGGTGCGGGCGTGCGGGGCCCAGGGCACCCCCTGGGCCTGCTTACAGAGGCAGCAGCACCTGCCCAGCCGGGTCTGCGCCCAGCGTCTCAGCAGCCCGAGGGGAGAGCACCACCGCACCCGGCTCTCCGCCTCACTCCGGGCTCTTTCTGCTTCTGCGAGGCTGGGTCACAAAGGGCCCTGTCCTTGGGCCTCCGACAAGAAAGCATCTATTTTTAACTAGAGGGCAGATTCCCCCCCCCCCCCCATGGGCCGTTTCAAAGCCTTGCCAGGGTTGACTGGGCTCCAGGACGGCAGCAACGCGCCCCCACCCCCGTCCTACGGCTCAGTCCACACCCCCAGGGCCCAGCCAGGGTCCAGCAGACAAGCCTGCGGCCCTTGTGGGGGACCCCGGCCCCTCCCACCTGGCCCTGGCCCTGGCTGGGCCCTGTCTCTAGACATTTGTTCGCTGCCTGTTGGCTTGGCAGTTCTGTTCTCTTCACCTCTCTGGACCTTATTTTCCTATCTGAATAAAGAGGTCGTTAGATGCTTTATCCCCGTGGCCCCT